CATCATCATCATCATCATCATCATCATCATCATCATCATCATCATCATCATCATCATCAACATCATCCCAATCATCAGAATCATCATCATCCGAATCATCATCATCCTCATCGTCATCATCATCATCATCATCATCGTCATCATCAGCCGAATCATCATCATCATCATCATCACCATCATCATCATCATCATCATCACAATGATCATCATCCGAATAATCATCATCATTATCATCCGACTCACCACCATCATACTTATCACCGTCATCATCGTCATCATCATGGTCATCATCATCAGCATCATCATCTTCATCATCATCAGTTTCATCATAATCTTCATTATCATCATCATCATCATCATTATCATCATCATCAACGTCATCATCATCATGATCATGATGATGATCATCATTCGAATCATCATCATCATCGGCAACATCATTATCGTCATAGGAAACTTCGTCATCGTGATCATCATCCACAGCAACAGAATCGTCATCCGATTATTCAACATTATACTCATCATCATTATCATCCGAATCATCCGAATCTTCAATATCATCATCATCATCCTCAGCATCATCATCGTCATCATCAACACCATCATCATCATCGTCATCATCCACATTATAATCCTCATCTTCATCATCATCATCATAATCATCCTCGTCCGACTGATCATCATCAACATTATCATCATCATCATCATCATCATCATCATCGTCATCGTCATCATCGTCCTCATCATCATGAACATCATACGAATCGTCATCAACATAATCATCATCATCATCAACGTCATCAGCATCCAAATCATCATAATCCTTATCTCCATCGTCATCCTCATCATACTAATCATCATCATCCGAAAAATCGTCATCAACTTCATCATTATCAACATCAATATCATCATCATCATCATCTTCATCATTCTAAACGTCATCATCATAAGCATCATCATAATCATCATCATCATCATCATCATCTCCATTTTCATCATCAACGTCATCGTTATCATCAACCGAATCATCAGCATCATCACCAACATCATCATCATCATCACAATCAACATCGTCATCATCACCGCCATCATCATCAGCATCATCATTACTTTCAGCATCCGAATCATAGTCATTAAAAAAACATCATTCCAACAAACGCCATCATCATCATCATCATCAACATCATCATCCTAATCATCTTCATCATCAGCATCATCATCATCCGAATCATCATCATCATCATCATCATCATCATCATCAGCGTCGACAGCATCCGAATCATCATCATCATCATCATAATCATCATCAGCAGCAGCATCTTCATCCTCATCATCATCACCATCATAAAAATAATCATAATCACCATCATCATCATCATCCAAATCAGCATCAACATCATAATCATCGACATCTTCATCAACATCATCATCCGAATCAACATCATTATCATCATCATCATCGTCATCATCACCATCTTTCGAATCACTTTCATATAAATCATCATCATCGTCCTCATCATCATCAACATCGTCATCATCATCATAATCATCATCATCATCATCAACATCCTCATCATCCTAAAAATAATCGACATCATCACCATCATCATCATCGTCGTCGTCGTCATCCGAATAATCATGATTGTCATCACCATCATCGTCAACATCATCACCATCATCATCATGATCATCACCACCTTCTCCATCATCCACATAATAATCATCATCATCATCACATCGTCGACATATCATCAACATCATCATCCGAATCAACATCATCATCATCATCATCATCATCATCATCATCATCATCATCATCATCATCATCATCA